CACTAACCTGGAAAATCTGCAATGGGTATACAGCATCAGAAGCCATCGCGATACTCACTTAAGGGCCGTTTTTTTTTGTCATCTGATGGCCGAGAGTTCTCGGTAGCTGCATCGAAAATTGATATGACGCTGACAAGATTTCGACCATTCTGTCCATACGTTATTGAAAATAGTACCATTTTAACATGAGCTAGAACCACAACGTTGTCAACATTAACCTACGCTCGAGTCGTTAGTTTCACGTTTTGTCTTATCTAACGTAGCTTGGTATCTTGTCAAGTAATTGTATTCAGGGCTCAATTTCTTAGTCTTGAAGTAAGGTCCTTCATTAGGACCACTACGTGTGGCGGCCTTATACGCCCGATCTGGGGCACACTCTATAGTGTCAAACAAAACCAATAGATAAAAGATTAAAATCGTTTCTTATCCGTTTTACCTTGACAACAAGTCGAATCTGAAATCTGAGTGAGTTTCGGAGCCTAGTTGTTAGAAATCCTCAGATACAGAGCAGCGATAACAATGACAATATTCTACCTGTCAGTGTTTAACATCCGAGGGCAGGACATAATAAAACCAAACGCTGGCAGGCCTTGTTCCTCTGGCAACATGGCGTCGCACCTTACGCGTATTTGGTATGAAACGCCTCAAACGATATTTCGCATCCGTCATCAATAGCAGTTTGCCATCCATTCGGTGTTGGCTCTCACTTCAGCGACGATCCTCGTGCGTAACACTCGCCGATGAGGGCAGCACCCGGAAGCGCAGGACTCAAAAGCTACATCGTTATCGTTGCCGTCGACTTTACAGCTGACTCCAAACGAGAACGCTTCCCTGCGGCGGCAACTTTTAGCTCAACGGACGACAGGCGACATCAACGTAATCGACTCAGACACGTGTTAAATAACAAACGATTATACAAGTGTGTGTTAATATGAGCGGACAGACAAATGTAGTGTCTATCGATATACGTACGGGGTAGCGTGGTTCTGGGTGAGCCTCAGTGAATCCCCGCCCCATATTGCACTGGTATCACGTTCCCGCATATGTAGTTGAGAGTGCCTCGATTTATTGTATAACGAGAATTGATATTGTACTTACGCAATATATTTTTACGAGAACGTATATAAGATTCGGAGATGTTTCTTTTTTAAATCTTAGTAGAATTCTATGCTTATCGGAAGGGTAACATGCAATGCCACTACCGTTATTAATAGCTAATTGATAAAATTAATAGTATAGCACGAGTTCTTGCAACTCATGTCAGGTGCCAGGCAAAGGGAACACAAACTGCTGAGCTCATATAATTTAAAAGTAAATAAAAATTTTCACTGAAGAACAAATTCACGTAGTACCTTTAAGACGGCAGGAGGATGGGCCAGGGGTATATATTAAGTTATACTTTACGCGGGCGCCATAAAACTTGATCAGTGATATATCATCTTGAGGCCAGGTTACCCGTGGGACTTAGCCCTGTGGTAAACAAGATAGGCTAAGTACTCGACCGTTTAAGTGGTCTTACTTTTTATAGTGAAATTCATCATTAAAATTTTCGCTGGGCATTTTCTTGCTGCAAAGAACTTCGGGACTCTTTCTGCAACCCCTTTGTCGTTAACAACGATAGTCAGCACTGTATTGTTGACCAAAAAGCGGTTGAAATGTTCTGCCTACCAGCTCCCTACTGCTTTAGCTTAAGCTTCCATCGTTGCCTTTATACGTTCTGAGCCTTAGCATCGGCTCAGCTACCGTCGTCATCGTTATCACTATCAGTATTATGGAGTTTCGTCGGAAATGCGCCTGTGTAGACGGCCCGTATAACAGCGCTCTGATGCCGCAATACAACTCACACACAAAGCGAAATTACGATACGCTTGTTGAATTCGGCCGTCTGATCCGATTTCTCCTAACTGGCAATGCCTCATGTTCGTGTGCAGTTTTATATATGTGAATACTCGTGTACCAGCCATATCGTATATGTGCCTGTGCGAGTATAGTTCAGGACGAAAGCTGTGTACTTCGGACGATCCGAAGGTTTTTGACGTCCATATACCAATTTGAACCTTGAATTTGAAGAAGGGGCGAAATGCTGGGACGGATGGGTCAATGGGAGTTCATACGACGTTGCTACATAGCAGGGGCACGGCCTGGTGCTAGCTGGTAGACGCTTTGCCTGTAGGCTGTAGTGTCGTTACTGCGTATTCATATATCCGTCTACTTGACCACAGCCCGCGCTGCGGTAGCCCCAACCGGGGCCACTGAACTTCGGTGAATACTCCCGTTGCTTCGACCCAGCACTCATTAGCCCGCTAAGTGCACTGCAGAAACGTTAGAAGCCAAACGGCAAAATCGCGAAAGAGTGTGCAGCGGCACGGCGCGTTTTGACGTGTCGCATCATGTCGCAGTTGAGCACATTAAAAGATGTAATAACAGTTGTGAATTCAGCAACTATTCGGTAAAAAAGAGATATGCATAAAGGATGAACAGTTTGCCCCTTTACGCCCTTCCACAAAACTTAGAGCAAGCTTTTGCGAAACGAAAGGAAAAATACCGGAAAGGTGTCCTATTGGAATAGGAAAAAATGGGTAACTACTATTTATGTTAAGTGAATAGTTACACACCTGTTTTGAGCCAGACATTTTCATGCAGTAAATGCATACTGACCTAACCTAGTGATTTCAATTTTATCATAAATCTGACCTAGAAGCCTAAGCCTGAACCTGAATTCTAAACAAAATATAGTTTTTTTGCTTCTAGATCGAAGTTTCTATTTTGGTATAGAGTAAACAGATGAGAGTACTAAATGCAAAAAGTATCCAGTAAATGCCCCTTTCGACACTGCTTAAATGTTTAAATTGTTTGAGCAAAATTTCAAATTCGACTTGGTATAAGTTTGAATCTTCTGATATAGCAGCTAATTTTCTTTTTCACGACTTGAACGGTCATAGGATTATCGACCTAAAAATCTCAAAGAAAAAAGGCCAAATAGACAATCGATCTAATAACACCCAAACGAGGAATCATGTCTCGTGCTATAATAAAGGACTGTTTTATGTGATGTGTGGCAAGTGAAACTGTTTTCATAGAACTATAGGTCTCTGGGATCCGTAGAGTTACTTGAAAGACAAAACCTGGCCCTATCACGCTCCGGTCCCGTCCACCATTGATTGTTTGTGCGTTTCTGGCAGAGTCATTGAAGCGTCACACGAAGTTCAGTGATGTCCTACGCTAAGAATACGCACCAAACGGTGACGCGTACAAGGTGCACGTTCTTTTCATAAAATACATATGGATTTTTTTCTTGTCTCGAAACGTAACTTCTTTTGCTGCATGTTTATGAAGTTGTCAACATGAAAATGGACCTCATCTGTGAAGTTGTTTTTAGTTCGGAAGGTATTGTCGTTCAGTTACCAATATACGAGTTTTTTTTTCGCTCTGTCTGACCTGTAAGCTTGAATTGTTAGGTCAACTGGATTCTGTAGGCACGAGGTATTCCACGAGAATACACCGCGTGGTATTCATGAAGTAGTTGCAGTTTTAAGCACGATACCGAACGGTTGTTTCGAAATTTGCGGGCACAGCTTGCCAACGGGACGGGATTGTTTATGCCGACTAACTAGGACGAATATACGTCAATAGACCTTTGCTATTTTTAAAATAATGTTTGATAATAAGAATGCGGTTTGCTGAGTAGAGGTCCATTTTTAATGTTATTAAACTTTCGATTATCTGTGTATCGTAATGGCTGGACTGCTGACGCCTATTAGCAGGAATATATAATTAAGAATTTATCAAATGTATTAACTTGTATACTAAAGTCGCTTTTTAAGTTTCTCGGTAATTAAAGCTGAAAAGAAGTTAGTTAAAGGACAGATATCACTGCATTGGTCATATCTATCATTAAACCATTATATATAAGCCCTTTTAAAGCAAGCTGAATTGCTGCATCCCTTACTCAGCATCGGGGCACGCAGGGCATAAAACGCTAAACACGTTTCGGCTGGCCGTTTGCTTTTTTCGCTATAGTACGGTCCATGCTTTTTACTCCCGGTTAGGCCGGCCGACCTGCTCTGTGCTACCTGCAGCGCCTGCTCCGACTTACCGATCTGCTATAGCTCCTACTGTTTCGTTGTACGTCGTGATCCTATTTCTATAATACAGCACTGTCCAACAACAGTGCAGCTTTATTCTCTGGCAAAAGCCGTCAGCAACCATCTACCTTTGCCCGTACGCATTGAGGATCTCGGTTCGGCTGTATTTGTGTGTACGCGTGTGTTCATCCGTACGATATTTACCCGCTGCTGCGTCTGCTTCCACACCTTTTTTCAGTACACAGTTAGCCTGCTATATTTGTGTTATGATACACAGTATAAGCTTGTACCAGAAAATAGTCGCTATCAGAAACCGTAAGGCAGTGAGTCTCTTAGCGTCGCTGAGTCGATACACAATCGAGTATTGCTGGCTAGTCGATGTCGGAGACAGTGTTGCTCAGACAGTGCACGATGACGCTGCCGCTGCGCTCAGGCCGCTGGAGCTGTCAACAGAGACCGACAGATCGTGCTGCGTCTAGCGTCTTTCTTGGCCTTCCGCTGCCAGGGAGGTTTTCCTTTGCTTCTGCAGTGCTGTTGCCAAACCCTCGACGCCGATTAACCTTTGGCATAGCCACGACTAGCCCCTATCAAAGGTAGAGCCTACACATTCTCTTAGCCAGCGCTTTTTGGGTCCTTCCTTGTACCTTCCCATTTATCTCTTCCTTTTTTTTTTTCTCTTATCACTGGCCTGCTAGCCGTGGCGTTTCTATGGCTGATATCGCTGTTCGACGATGTTATAAGCCACTGCAACCGTTCCTATAGGCCAGCTTTCTGCGTGTCTGCTCGATCCGAACGGCAAAACTGGCAGCCCTTACGGAGTGGCGGTAGCGGTGTGCATTGTTGACGTTGCTAACCAAAGCCATAGGCACCAGCAGCTGCATCGGCGGCGACGGCGGCGACGACGACGACGACGACGACGACGACGGCGCAGCCACTGACAATCAGTGGCCCCTGATGATGCCGCGTCAACTTCGTCTGTTCACTTTGCGCGTTCTTTCTTTTCCCGTCGTGTACATTTATGCTCGAATGTCGGTCTCTCAATTCTGCCGGGTCCGCTCTTACTGCTATCGTCTCTGCCCGCTCTCCATTCCTCTGTAGGCTCGCTAACTGCTGTTGTGCAGTGTACTGCTGACGTCCGCAGCCGCGGCTGAGGCCAGCGTCATCTTCGCCCTTCACGTTGCTCCGTTGCTGCATAGCTCGTTCTGTTCATTCGTCCGTCGGTCTATCCGTCCGTCCGTCCGTCGTTCGTCAGTCAGTCGGTCGAACGTCGAGAGTCACTGAACTGTGCTCTGACCGCAGTAGCGGCAGCCGAACGCGCAGCAAAAGCAGCGGCAGCACAAGCGGCCCTCGACGGTTCGCTTGATAAAAACGACTTGACGTTAAAAAGCAAAGCAAAGTCAACTAACAAAGCTGCAGAGCCTTGCCGCTCCAGACGGCCAGCACTGCCGTTCAGGCTGTTCGGCCTAGCTGTGGCCACCTGACGCCGACTGATCATCGCTGAAACGAGCCACACTGCTCAATACCCCAGAAGAAGCGGAACGAGAAGCAGCGCTCGTACATAACAACACCGGCAACGCATGGGACACGACGACCAGGGGGTGAGAACCCTACGTTGCAGAAAAGCTGGCCGAACGAATACCGGAGTTAACGAGACGATGTAAAATGCCGAAGCAAGCTACATGATTGTCAGAAACATAAAACTCTTCTCAGGAGACTGAGGGTGCTGTCGTCTGCGTGAAGCATTTGTTTTAAGTTGAACGCTGTTGCACTTGCCGACTTTTCCGACGTCCAGCCACCTGATTCAGAGATTGTAACTGCTGGAGAATTACACTGGCGTTGAATAGGAAGAAGCTCGCCGTTGAGAACAAATGACATGTGTGAGCGCAGACGAAGCACAAACAAGCGGATGGCTGTTGAAGGACACGTGAAAACAAAATTGACATTTCCTATCTGAAGTCTGGAGTAACAGGTGCCTATTCTTAGAGGTGTCAATCGTTTCTTATGCTACCGAGCTGAAATTCAGGTGCAACTGACAATCTGAAGTTCTATGGTGCAATGGCGTAATCAGTTGGATTATATCAGTGTGGAACAGCCGAGAGGAACTGAGAGGACCGACCATATGAACAGTGGAACACGCAAACAAAAATAGGTTGATACGAAGCTACGCAATGGAATTATAAGACTTGTGGAATTATGCCACGAGTCGTCAACATATTTTGCTCCAAATGCGGGTCTTTGAATCTTTGCCTTGTGCAAACTTTACGTTGAGCGCGATAATGAAAAGATATTGAGGTACGTTGTTTGAAGTTCTGCAGGATTCTGGCGAAATATGCGCGTGGTGGTAAGTACTGGATACGCAGTAGGTACGCAGACGACTCACTGCCAATAGCTCTTAATCACGCATGTTAACAGATTTCTGGGTCTCAATTAATTCGAGGGTCGCCAACTTAATAATGACCATTTTATTAGCCCCAACCATATGCTCAACATATGAAATATCATTAATAAAGTAACACGCTGCATATGATAAAATTATAACTTCCTGTGAAAGTTTATAGAAATCTATTGTGAACACCTCCCGTTACAGATAATGAAACAATTCGAACGAATAAGCTCAATTCTATTATATCCTATAAGTTCATTATATATGTTTGAATAGAGAAATAACGTTATGGGTTGCAACGGTGCCGCGTACTTCGAGAAGCTATCTCTTCACTTCATTTGAGCATGTCTTGCATGAATTAAAATTAGCTTTCATTTACATGGACAATACGTCCCTTGATCACGTAGTATATGACACAATTTTTTCTATTGCTCATACGCAAAATTAACGTCGTATCTGGTCGAAGATCGTTCAACTATGTTCTTCAATAGCAGAGAAAAAGAAACAAAGTGAATGAGGTGGTTCGCGAGACACCAAATTATGCTAGCTGATTCTGTTCCATTATCCGGGTTAGCGTTCCGCTCTTGCGGGCCGGACTGTTGTGGCTGCTGCTGTTGTTGTTACCGTAAAACTCCGTTAGCGGTGAACGACCTGATACCGCAGCGTCCGTCCAGGCGGACCACGTGGTCCGGAACGGAGCTTCGCTATAGAATTGCGGATTTCTGGGCAAGTTGTATCGTCAAGCACTTATTTCGAGCCCGGCACTTTTGCACCGGCAGGGACATTCGACAGTACTGGCATCATCTATAGGCCTCTGTAAACAAAAAGTAACGCGTTCGTTAACTTAAAGTTCGAGCTCAATTTTAAAAAATGAATGTGATAGCGACGCGGTACAGCGTTATTCGTTCGACGTTCTATTCAACTGCCGATGAAGTTAATGACGAAAATCGTGATGGATTTGTGTAAGTTAACCCAAATTAATATAATGATCAATACACTGATGTTTTACACACTGTGATAATGATTCGATGTCTTTTAATTCGTAGCGTCAAATATTCATATTTCGGAGAAAATTGCGGCAATTTTCCTTGGGGTTATTCTTTTATGCCTAGATGCTTATTTTGTCAATTAGCCAAAGTTAAGTTAAAACTATTAGTTTTTATTTTAACGTGAATTTAAATAAGAAGTGATGTTTGAGCTACAAAAGATCTTCAGCTTTGGCACGTCGCATACAACTTACCGGAACTAATTTTCTTTATTTTATTTATGATTCAATCAAAATCAACATAACAATCGCTTACCTGATCACACGTTATTTATTGTAGCGTATGTTGGTATGGGTCTTAAATCTACCTCGTCACCTAGTGGATAACGTTTCTGCATGCTAATATTAGGATCACGTGGTAGTCTAGGTTGCAGCCCGAGCGTGGACCCAGTTCGTTGCGCGCTAAAAGCCAATCATGCGACAAAATACCTAATGGTGGTGCCGGCCATAAAATTCGAAGCATCCGTGACCTATCATACACTGTCTGTACATAAAGACGTCTCTAAACTATGCTTGTGGGTCTGTGACCTTGTATATGTTTCTATAGTTAAAAAGCCTCACCATCGCTACCCAAACCGTATTTCCTGCGGCGCAACTAAAATTGCCAACGGTAATTATTCGACAAGTAATAAATAAAGAAGCTTGTTACTGTTCTTTATAATGATTAGGCGCGGTCGTCACTTCAGTCAATAAGTGCTTCACTATGCCGAGCAGTGAAGTGTCTCGGCTTTTTTTACAACTGTCATACATTAATTTCTATCTCTTTCGCCAAACGAACGAGATCGCTAGCAACAACTATTAGACAGGGGCAGTGGCAGACATTTCCAGAAAAATGATGCTGATAGAGGTCACAATTCACTCAGTGTGCAGCACGGATGTCTACTGCTGGAAAATTTGGAAAAAGGGCACGGTTCTATCCATAAATAAGCTAGAGTCTTAGTTAATGCTTCGGGCGAGCGATCGCCTAATAGGTAGTCAATCAGTGTCGTTGGTTAGAGAGCTAGCAAAATCGTCCACGATTTATATATACGTTGCACAATGGCATGAAGAAAGTATTCGGATCATGAATCCGCCACGGTGAAAAATATTGTTGGAAGCTATATGTGCGTGTATTCTATGAAGGGTTAAAATGCCTTGCATCGACTGTTCCTGGATGTAAGCTGTTTTGTAAATGGAAGTACCGGGACTATAGTATTTGTTCCAGTTTCAATGCAGTGTTTCAATGGACGAACCTTCATGATGGCGTAATGGCAAATCTGCGTTACCTGTTTTTGTCCTTTGGCAGCGGTGAGGTCATCACGATATGGACTGCGAAGAGGAATGGCTGTTGGGCGACGTGGACGATTCCATTTCAGGCGGAACGTCTCTACCCAATCCGATTTTGTTCGAGGATAGAATGATATCGGATTCTGTCGAATACGAGCACTCGTACTCCAACGCGAATGGTGCACAACAAAACAAAACAACAGTGACCGCTCCCATTGGAATCATCATTAAAACAGAAAAAGGTTAACAGTGGAGAACAGTTATCTATTGAAATGACTATCATTGTTTGGAAGTAGCCAAGCGAACCTTGGCCCCTGGGCAGAAAACGGTAGCCACGATTCATTGTGGTAATATATAAGTATATAGTAATTGGCACCAGTGGAAAATGTCTGGAGTAACTTTATTGCGCGCAAATTTTCACAGATTTAGATGACGAGTGCTATCCGGCCGTGCCGTTATTATCAGCTACTGGCCAAGGAGTCTTCGTCAAAAGTGAGGCCGTTGTACCTCCTCCAGTCCTACCTTTTCCAGCGCAAGCTGTCTCCCCAATCCCCATTCCACCGCCGCCCTACACAGCACACGCCCTACAGAACGTTACGCCTGGTATTGGTACGTGAAGGCAGACAGAGAGATATCGGCTTGGCACGCTAAACACCTGCGTTGCTATGACGCTGTGAGACTAGTTAGCTAGCGTATGTCCTATATTCTAAAATAGCTTCGATCTTCTTCAATGACTCTTCCAAATTGTATTTATTGCTCATGTAACATTGATTTAGAATTTCCAAGTAGCGTGTATTTCTATTTTTTCTCTAACGGAATCCCGTAGTCGTCATGTTGCTGGCAAACTTTCACGTGTAAATTTCCTGCTTAGCGGAAAGTTTTGTTACGGCTTTCTATCCTGTTGTCATTAAAATAGGTAGGAATCAATAATGTGAATGAAGCTCGATTTACCGCGATGGGAAAGTACTTCAAATGGTAAGTTTTTTCCCGGTAAAAGAACTCGCGGCACTATGAAGGCCGTCAGGCCAAGAGAGACAAAGTGTTTCGTAAAAATCAAGTGCATTTAACAACTTTCCATCTATTTTATTTATTTTTTTTTAGACCTATTTTAACCGCTAAAGTCGCAGGAGGAAATGGCATTGAAAAGTGTCCCCGACCACACGATTGATATTTAGAAGAAAACTCGTGATACGGTTTTTCATCTCAACAGAGGCACTCATGAGAGCCAAAAAGAAGCCAAGAGAAGAAACTTACATATACAATATAGGTTTATGACTTCAATTGGCGCGCGTATCTCTGTGTTCACACGAACTATTACGTCCGTTACTAGACTCACGGTTGCGTACTTTAGAGTGTAGTATATACATATTTGGCCGTAAACAAAACTGTTTGTTCTCGTAACGTTGTGTTTTTCTTTTAGTATCGGGAAGAATTCTATGCTGCACAACTACTACTAGCAGCAATGTTCAGGATAGCAAGGTGTCAAAGAATCGTTTGTTGGCTACAGCCCTTAGCACACCCCCGCTCGCCTCACTTTTAAGGCAGGCTACAACTTCCACGCAGAGTTTGCCAGTTGCTGTGACACAGGTAGGTTGAACCTTGTTCGGCACTTTTGTTTGTAGAAAGAAAGTAGCTTTGTATCCTGTGTCTTTCGCGTTAACCGTCTGAGCGCCCCTTAAGGAACAAATCGTTATTAACCGAACATTATAACCAGGATCACTAGTGTCAACCTGTCTCGAAGAATGGCTTTCGCTATGAAAAATTACATTACCGATGTTGCATCTACCTCTTTACAAGGCACACTACGTAGGTAGAAGCATGGTTAAAATGGATAATAATCTGCCTGATTTCGCATCCCATCAGGTAAAGGTTGAACTACCTCTTCCTCCGACTCCTCCGAGCTCAACATCTTCCTCGAATGAGTCCGAGAGTGACGGGTGCGCCTCGCCTCTACACCCTGGGACAACAAACGTCATCGCTGGACAGCAGCTTGTCAACGCTCTAAAACGAAGAGTCGCTGTTACGACAGAAAGGTGAGCTTTTCTTGTGTCCTGATCTACCGTCTCTTTATGCTGTCGTCCGGATGTGCAGCGACCCTCTCATTTCTCCGGCGTCTTTGGAACCGAGTAACTACTTATTAAGAATTCGTGGACTGATTTTTTCAACAGTCATTAAGTGAAACATCCATACACGGGCTGAAATAATGCTTTTCCCTATTATCGTCGCATATGTTAGTTATAACCTTGGTGCCGACAGCAGTACGACGCACGGAGTCCTCGCCTTAACCGAGGAGGAAAAACGCACACTGATTGCTGAAGGTTATCCAGTTCCGCAGAAGCTGCCCCTCACAAAGGCCGAGGAGCGATCTTTGAAGAAGATTCGCCGAAAGATAAAAAACAAAATTTCAGCCCAGGAAAGTCGACGTAAGAAGAAGGAGTACATGGACGCTCTTGAAAGAAGGTTGGTTTTTCTTTTGCGGCGACGAATTCACCGCTAATTGTTACGGCACAGCGTACGAAACGCTTGCAAACCATCCACTTAGACACTGTGGTTATTTTCAGAGAGTTCCTAAGGGGATTGTTAGTACTTCACACTGCTCTTTGTTTTATGCTACACTAGTTCAAACGTATAGTGCTAAGGGAACAAGAAACGCGTGTTAAGTTCCTCTATGTTTTGCAGAGTCGAACAGCTCAGTGCAGATAGCCGGGACATGCGTCGCCTTTGCGATTCTTTAGAAGAAGCCAATAAGATCTTGAGGCAGCAGTTGCACCTCCTTCAGCAACGAAGCGTTGAAGGCGCAGCGATCATTGTGGAGACGATTGGAATTTGCGAGGACAATGGAACAGGCGCTACTGATCAGGAAGCACTTATCGAAGGCGAGGTAGAAAAGGATTAGAGTTTGGAACCATCGCCCCGCGCAGTTTCACTCATTCAGCAAAATGCTAAATTGGTCTTTTAGTCTGAGACAGTGAAGAACAATATAATGATGTCTGTATTTGTATTTTGAAAAAGATTATATTTGTATCGCGCATGTACTTTTACTAATTACAGGAGATGCTCTGTGAACCAATGGGTGATATCGTGGCCGAGGAAGAGATTATTAATATAGGTGAAGATGTTGGCTGAGTCGATCAAGATGCAGCAATGGAAGCAGCAACTTCGATTCGTAAAAGCCCGTTTAGATTGATATTGGCCCATTGCTATCGGGAGGATTTGGTCGTTGAGCCTCTGGCCTAAGTGAAATTGAAAGTAGAAACGAATCAGGACTGGTAACTTTCTTTCTCTGTAGTTTTGGCAAGTCCACAACCAGCCGGGTATCTGTGCAATTGTTACTGAACTAGTTTATGGTCATAATAATGACTCGAGTATTTATTTGTTTACATTAGCTATACACTATGCTCGTTCGTTAACCGTAGCTCGCAATTCCCAAACCCCGCTCATTTCAAAATGATGTACATTACAATCATTTATGTATGTAGGTATCAACCAAAACGAGCTGCCCATCACAACTAAAACTTCGCCTAAAGGACAAGGACCTATACGATTTACAGTGGTGCTATTTGAGGATTTTTTTACTGTAGACAAGCGTTTGGCAATCGGACATAAGTGTTTGGGTGTCTCTCTTCCAGCCAGAAGGTAGAATGTCTCTTATAATGGAAGATCGCCAATGCTGCTAGAAAAATAATGAAATCGCGTTCTGAATCGTTCCGACGCTTGTCACCATACTCAGAACGCTTTTCACTAGCGTGGAGCAGATGGCCGCCGGTGCCACTGCAGCTGGTTGACGCTCTAAACAGAAACCTAAAAGGAAAGCACTTACGAGCTGCAATTAATGTATAATAAGATAGTTTCAGCTGTGCAAAATGTTAGCTAGCTAGCGACGATGGGTCTTGAATGCTCAGACCGAATCAGACCTAAAGTCAATTTTCAACAGAACTGTCTTTGCCAAAAATGCGCCGTGATATTGTCATAGGACCGTCTAGTTCTTTTGCTAACTGGGTAAGAGTATACGGCTGCTAGATATTCGGACGAATACATTAGCTTGCTAGTAAACGTTTGTGGGAAAAGTATCTTGTAAAAAGACAAACGCCGCTTCGTAACGCTCATGTGTACAAAAATAATGTAAATCAGATCACATTAGGGTTCCATTGCATCGATGGATATGTTTCTGCTAGGATATATTAGAAGTTCTCAGGCCTGTACCGTATGCACAGTTTTAGCACCGGTCACCATTATCGTGTCGGCCGCGCGTATTGTCATCGTTCTATTGAACTGAAAGTATTTCTGGACATCGAGATCAATCCTTGAGACGCAATTTCAAATCATCTCCACTTGACTACAATGGATATTTAACGTCATGCTTCAAGTTATCCAATCTAAATGTATATAGGATTTTTTCATACACGTATAGAATAGAGAGAAGTTGTTCAATGCAAATTTCCCTAATCCAATTCTATCTGCGTTTCGTTAGCCTACATCGCTTTTATGTCAGTACGCTTTCTGTGGATTAGGAAAAAAAGGTTCGCCAATAAACACAATCGCATGATCCTAGAAACGGCTATAATACAAGAGACAAGTAAGCGCAGAGGGGCACAAGGGGACGATTATGCGAAGCTTCCAAGTAAAGAGAAGATGGCTGCAATCAATAGCAACGTGCTTTTTGAATCTCGTTCTCCCTTGATTCATTATATATCATTAACGGTTACTGTCTCTCCCGTCGGAGATGCACGTTGCCATGATGTTGGCACTCAGGTGAACGACCCCCGACAAGGCCGTCAGTTGCAATATCGTATTGTACAAACATAGTTTTCGTCTTATGTAGAATCTGTATAATTAGACGTCCATACGAACGGTGTGCTAACTATCGACGCAGCATCGATCGCGTACATGTGTAATTACTCGATAGGGACAATCAAAAGCCTCAGAAGGCTCGATTGGACAAGGGAAGATTTTTTTACTGCTGATCGTAAACACGTAAAGATAACTACATGATAGATCTCGATCATTTTCGGTGCTGTTGTCAACCTGTGTAAACAATCAGAGTTTGCTCGATGGCGGTGTTACGCCATAGTAAACTAAAACTTCATTAGTTCTATGTGGGAAAGTTCATCTCCAGACCGCTCCGCTGTTTCAAGAGGTAACGGGATCGCACTCGAATGCTCCTTAACGAGCTGCTCTTCAATGATCGATTGATTATTCGGTTTTCTTCTGTCACGGTGACTGGACTAGTGAACCGCGAATAATACCGAACACGCTTTACATTTTTCAAGAACAATACGCGTCTACTGCGCATTGCTCCTAGAACGTACATCACGCTCGCCTACATATATTCCCATAGAATGATAGGGATGATCTATCTGTATGTATTCACAAACCATGTTTCTTACCTGCACACATATGCATGCGTACATACGCGTGAAACGGCCGCGTCGTGCAATAACTCAGAAAAAAAAAATACGAAAATGAGATCACTTGGAAAACATTTACTCAATGTGACATTTTATCATATAGATAAGGTGACTAAATAAAGTACTAGTGATTTCCTATAAGGACCCCATACAAAATGTAATTTTATGGATTAGATAAATGTCACATCCTGTTAAATCCTGGGAAAAAAAAGTAAGTATCATGTCGTCTGTCTCTTGAGCGTTACCAAAATAACTGTTCATTACACAACATTATATAGCCAGATGTAGGGTGACTACGATGTGTTACAACTTTCAACTACCAGGTTAAATTTCCATGTTTGTCTCAGACAGAAATTAATATCACATATATATTTTAGAGGACTTGTGCAGATTTTTTATCGAAGTTTTGATTGGAAAACTTCGCGGGACTTTCAGTTTCGTACCTCTGTGTTATTACGTTTAGTTAATTTTAGCCGTTGCTCCAATTTTACCTATGCTTATCTTGTGGCAAGGTGCCGATGATAGCGGATTTGATAGGTCTTTGTCGGACTTTGAGCCTACTTAGTCAAATGAATGCTGTGTTTGTATCGGATTTAAGGTAGAACCGATACTAGGTGGGCTAGGTAGGTAGTTGATTGATAACTCTGTCCGGCTTATTTTTGCTGATTCAAATATCCTTTCGAGAATAAAGGTTACCCTGGTGACATTGAACCTGGCAAATAAATACACGCACGAATAATGTGTCTTCCTTCACAGCACTTGGCTTTTGCTAAATATTCTAAATAGGATTCTCGTTTATAGATATCATATATACATAGCAGAAGTATGCAGATCTTTCGAAATTCAATCGACCTCATTACACGTATAGGAATAGGTAACACCCTGTATTGTTCGCTGAATTTTACCGCAAGCTTTTGTTTTGACGTCAACTTTAATCTCGTTGCCATTCTATCTGCGTCCTGGTAATCGCATCAAGAAACAAGTAGCTTCGGTATCAATATTTATTTTTCGTTTTATATTCCCTGTACGTTAGGTCTGTGCTGGCCTGATCAGGCTGGCACACCCATCGCTAATCTTCCGCAGCAAATCCTCAAGTACACAAACTAAACATGTGCAAGTCCGGACCGGCCGCCAACCAACGCCTACTCCTCACAGTCTCTCCTTTTGGTTCACGATGCTGTTCTATGCCAATTGCTGCACACGCGCGCGTCTTGCTCATTATCAGGCAAACGAAAAACAACAGCTGTTTCATCTATGGTATTGTGTGTAATATTACATACATAACATTGTGTATCTATTTGCCTTTCACTTCAACGTGCACTTTTTGACCGGCAGTAACTTTCTGCCCAGTAGATCGAGCTGTTTATGTGACTGATCGGATGGATCACTGCCGAACTTCGACAATAGTCCCTAACGGAGACTGGCGGACCGACTCGGCCGTTTCTCCCGCTTGCCCAGACCTCTTCTTCTACCAGTTCTAGATCTGCTCACAGTCAGCCTGGTACTGCTATTAGCGTACTTTCAAGGCAAGCCAAACGAGTCATATTGAAGACTATCAACCAACTCGACATGATCTCCATCGTCGTACTCTCCAGTGTACATACACGACGACAGCAGATTTAGCCGCAGCAGTAGCGGCAGCGTCAGCGACAAGAGCAACACCAAGCACGACGGGCGCCAGCAGCTCCCCGAGCAGCTGCTCCGAACGGACAGTTGTGGGGGCTTAGTACGTCGCTCACTCTATGATGGCGTTACGAGTGTTGTTGATATTTAGTGATTAATGCGGCTGCCTGATAGTTTTCGACAAAGTATCCAGGGAACAGAAGCGTATGACGAAGCCTCGATAGAAACGCCGAGCTACAAAGAAGAACGAGCCGCCCCGTCAGAGTCAGAAGCGAAATCGTTCGCCGACTCTTAAAATCGGCAACCCCCGACAGCCAGTCAGCCAGCCAATGACGAGCGGCGCAGCGCAATGTAGAAAGAATCAACGTGGCTTGTTTGCACGATTTGTTTCTCTTAAACTCTCCCTAGTCCCCAACTACTGAAAGGGGCAAAGCTGCTAGTCTTTCAAAGCTACGACCCCGCCCCTTACGCTTTCTCTGTCCATATCTGTATCCTTAGCCCTCTCATTTCATACTTAACTGGCCTTCGATGGCGTCTTCTCCACGAGCCGCGAGAGTTGTTATCAGAACGAGTTGGTTGGGTGGCTCAAAGAACTCTACAACTCTGTAGCAGTGATTGTACGACTGTGGCGTGTTATAATGTCGTACTTGGATGGATGTTGACAGGCGAGGTCCAGCCGCTATTGGAATCTGTTGCCAATGGGGCTGGCGCGTGCCTCTGAGTTAGCTGCTGACGAACGCGCAATAGAACAAAGACGATGGGAACACGGGGGGTAAATCTACATAGAAGGTATGCAAAATGTAACGGAATTGAATCTACACAACTACGGTTGATACGCCACACTTGAATCTGTAGTACTTCTGGAAAAAGACAGGCTGCCATGGGCTATTTAATGAGAGAGACCGCATTGTGGGCGTCTGCGTAGTGCACTTCCGGCAAGGATCAACAGTTTCGTATAGGATGGTGTCTTTTGTGTCTAAGAAAAGAAAGCCGAATTCGCGTCTATTTCTGACTACTGACCCAAACAGGCGTGTCAAAACTTAATTATTAGTACGCTGAAGATAATCTCTGTGGGTGCTATTTAACCAAGCAAACACTTCAAAGATGCTTTACAAACTCGACAATGGATTGCTTTTAGAATGTTACCTAACTTTTCATCAGAATCAATAATCCAATCCAGTTTATTGATCTAACCAGGCAAGAGGATCGAGCAATTAACAATACATACAGTCACAATATGACGGTGCATATCATTCGTGTTAAGATTTCAAGGCTTTATCCTTGCAACTTTATTCGAACCCGTATCATGATGTTCACAGGGTTCGCGTAACGTTATCGGTGATCTAAACCAGGTGATTGACTCTCCGGCTTTTTTCAATACCTGCGCATAACGAGCGGTGATCGGCCCGTGCTATCCCGTTCTGACACATGTTGGCGACGAGAAGAGGGTGCCACCGGTCAGATAGTTTACTCTCTCGTTCGGCCGCCATTGGGGGTCTTGTTTCTCTACTCTGTCATAGCACATTCCTCTTCTGGCTCTATTTGATCGGCTAGCGCTATTCCTTAATCTCTCGCCGCGTTCCCGTTCCCCCACCCCCTTTTCCCCAACGCCTATCTCTTCTCACCTCAAATTCCGTTTATCGTAGAATGGGCATAGTCATATAGGCCCAAATGCACACACCAGGACCACTACGATAGCAAGAGATCAATGTTTACCTAATTTTGTCGTTTTCGGTGGAACTTTTTGTCTTTTGATCTTCATAGGCACCTAACCTGCTGCTGCTGCTGCTGCTGCTGCTGCTGCTGCTGTTACTGTTACTTCTTTCGTTCCTGAACTTGGTCGAATTTTCAAAAGGGGGAAGAACGGGACGCCGAGACATCTTTGCGTTGGAGAGTTTCGAGCCAGAGGAAAGGATGAACGAAGCTTTGCCTATAGAATAAGCCGACCAAACCGGTTCATCGCGTCTGAGTTGCCGTGTGCAGCATTGAGCAGACCCGATCATCGACTTTCGAGCGGCTTTTCCACTCTGATTCTCGGATTTCACGCGAAGTTAACACACCTATTCTAGTTATGGGGGTTGGCCTATTGATAGTCCGACGGAGAACGGTTATAACGGCTGCCAGCCTAGGCCAGCGATTGTTCCCGAAGCGTCATTCGAGCATCTTGCCGAAAGTTGGTCCAGAGCGAGCAACATCACTCGGGATGCGACGTCCACATGGCAACGGTAGCGGTCGGCAAGCCGTTATCGTATTGAGCAACAATAGTAACAACAGCATGCGAACGTGCGAAGCTGTCACCGGACGAGGTTAACAGGCTGCTATTGGACGGCAGTTATCCATTAGAGTGACGATGGTGATGAAACGCTTGCTAGAATCACAGCGATACCCTTTTGGCGCGCGCGTCGATCGTTGGTTTTCGGCCGGTTTGGTTTTTTGTCGAAAAAAGATGAAAATGACGCTAGCCAATGTGTGAAGGTGATACTTTTGAAACGTGAATGTATTTATCACAATGATTAGCCAGGGAATATTTTACACTTTCGGATATCTCTGCTAATGAGCGGGCCCTAAAGAAGGATTAGGAAAGAATTATTGTCCTTTTCGTTGTATCTCCCACAAACGATTGTATGTCTCCTAATGGAAAGCAAGAGCCACGTTGTTTGGTCCTTGAGAGAAGGCTGTTTATTAAAAATTAATTCGGTCGGTGACGAAGGATGCTACTTTACATAGCCTACATCAAGAAAACATAAAAAAACACTCACTTAATTTTATACATTTGCCAATATGCTAGCGCCCCTACACTCGATAGAAGTACCTTTCCTAAGAGGGGTTCCACCTTCTACTATAAAAAATATTCCAAAAGGTCCTTGTAGCTCGTTTGTATGGCGTCATCTTAAACACGGCTCGAATTCCGGAACATATATCTTTAGATACCATAATAACATACAATGAAAGGAACACATCGTAACCATTTCCTCATAGGGGATTCGCCGTCTCCTCTCAATTTAGACCAACAGGCGTCAAGCTCTATTTCACGCTAACATTGATTTCCCTATTATTGCCATAAATCTTGTCGTCTTTCCATGTCCAATGACACGGTTAACTTCAATCAACCCAGTAAACTCAAAAAGAAGAATCAAGGAAAAATAATTAGCGGTATCTCGTACGACTCTCCACCTATGATAAACTGATCAACATTTTTTCTACTGAGGGCTCGTCAGGCGGCCTTGGATTGCGCATGCGAAGCTTCTTAGTAATTATAGGACTAAATATATATATATATATATATATGACAACACGCATTCAATCGATAGGGCATAGTTCTTAATGTCACTTATCTAGGGGAGAGGTTAACGATAAGGAACTTCGCTATATATCATTGGAAAGGGTATGCGTGAGAGATTGGTAGCAATGTCACATAAAAAAAAAGGCAGAACTTTTGTGAATACAACGACTTGGTAGCGCGTACAACAACGCAATGTCACGGTATGAAGGGTGAGCATGATACGCACGAGGTGCTGAAACCAGCGA